TTGCAGGTGAGCAGCCTGCCCTGTGGAAAGGATGAAAAGCTGTGCGATCTCTAGACCTTCTCCCTCCCACTGAAAAACTGCAGACTGTTTAGTTCAAAGGCACAGGGGTGCTAAATGTAATATGACGTGGAGAGGGAAAGAGTTTCCGTTGTTTGATGGAAAAGCCACTAACAATATAATAATATAGTTTTAAAATAATATATTGCTAAATCTCTCTTCTTCTTTTTCACTTCAAAGTAATATGTGGAAAGCAAATACTGCCTACATCACATTTTTTAATCCCTGTACCTGAAGAGCCAGTATTAAAAAATAAAAACCATAAAATACACATCAATTCTGTAGCTGTCCAGAATTTAAGCACATTACAATCTACAGTGACTGACCACACTGCTGGTTTTAGAATACTCATGCTTATCTGCGCTAACTGGATAGGCTTAAACAGCCACAGAAAACAAAAAGTCTAATTTACCCAGAATGTCCTGTTTCTTCCTCAAACTTTATCTGAGAGCCTCAAACATTTAAACAGAATGATTCTGTCTCCCCTAGGTCCTACCTGGCTTAATCAACAGATTGAAATGCATTTTTAAAATAATGATACACAGTGTTTGTCCTAACCAAGCTTCTGAAAACAATTACCAAAGTCTGAAGCAAAGAAAATAAATTTCAAAATAATGAGCAAAGAGAATACAAAGAATCTCATTCAATTGTCTTTTCTCTTTGAAAGCAAAAAAAAAAGTTTTAAACCTGGAAGGTCTGTAAGAATCTGTCCACATTTTTATCACTACAAAAATACAGAAAATAACAGGGAAAGACATACATCTTAGAAATAGATATGTGGATTTACAATGGACAAGGTTAATAACATTAAAATAAAAACCAATCTTGGGGAGGAAAACAGGACCTGAACAGGTAAGGAAGCAAGTGCTAGCTATCAAAAGGCACACATGACAAAACTGGATTTATAATAATTGTTCTCTATAGCCCTGGCTGATGTGGCTCAGTGGATTGAGTGCTGGCCTGCAAACCAAAGGGTCCCTGGTTCGAGTCCCAGTCAGGGCACAGTGGGTTGCAGGCTGGGTCCCAGTAGGGGGCACGCAAGAGGCAACTGCACTTTGATGTTTCTCCCCCTCTCTTTCTCCCTTCCCCTCTAAGTAAAAATAGATAAATAAAATCCTTAAAAAAATTGTTTTATTTAATAATGTACAAAATTGCTTTTATTAGTCATTCAAGTGAATGTCTTACATAATAAAGCATATTAAAATATAGGAGAAGCATAATTACTCCATATGTTAGGTATCACTTTAATAGTTATAAGGATATAACTGCTTTTCCTTATAATTATTTAGTTATAAGGATATAACTTTTGCTCTTCTAATAATACTAAGTAAGCAGCTTCTTACAGAAATTTGTGAAAATATAAACATTAATCTGATAATGTCTCAAGACTCAAGTAAGTGAAAGTGTTGTGAGAGAAATTAGGATATATCTAAATGATGGTACATTTACACAGTGGAGGAGGGGCGGTAATGGGGAATAGAAGGGAAAGGGTCAAGTCAAGGAACATGTATAAAGGACCCATGAACAAACTGTTTTAATGCCATTAATAAGGTATAGCTCAAGAATTACGGGAGATGGGAGAAGGAAAAGATTCCTTCTAGAAAGAAATTCTGGGGAGCTTTTCAGAAAAAGGTGGCGTCTGAGAAATGCCTTGGGAAATGAGTTGGAGACATTGACCCCAAGGAGTGGAGGAGAGAGGACCTGAGCAGACAGTCATTAAAGACTCTGGTGCCCGGGAACACAGCACGTGGTGCAGGCTGCCGGTGGTTTACAGGGCATGAGCGGTAAGGCTAGAAAATTAGGTTAGAATCAGATCACTCGGGGTCTTAAATACCAGCTAAGAAGTCTGAAGTTTGCTTTGTAGAAACTATGGTTTGGAACCAGGGAACTAGATAAAGAATAACCTTGCAGTAATGTGCACAATAGAAAAGGAGGGACTAGACAGTCATGGACACCAGCCGGGCGAAGCTAGTGCCACAGCAGAGCTGGCAGTGAAGGCCCAAACTGCTGGGGTGGTGGTGATGGGAATGGAGTGAGGAACAATCCAAAGGTAAAAACCGACAGGACTTCATTTGTCAAAGGTTTATTGTGTGTTCATTATCTGCCCGGTATCAGAGGAGCTCCTGAGAATACAAGAAAGACACTATATATTTTTGACCCAAAAGAATTAAGTAGAGGAAAAAGCAGAGAAGAGTCACGAATGACATCAAAGTCTCAATCCTAGGGAAAAGAACAAGAAGCAAACACCATCAATAGCAAACAGAAACACGGATGAAGAAAAACTCGCAGGGGAAGCTAAAGTGCCCAATGTCTAGTTTAAACCTGTGGTTCCAGGAGGAAATCCACAAAAACAGAAGCCCTAAGTAGAAGTAGAGGAGTGAAGGGATATCAGGACTAGAAAGAGATCATGGAGATGACAGTTAGGTCATGAGAGTTTATTAAACCATTAAGGACAAGTTCTTGGGTGGGGTGGGAGGACTGAAGGGAGAGAGTGGCAGGAAGCCTAGAGAATTTCAAGAAAGGAAACAACGATGACACGAAGAGGCTGGGCGAAGTGAGACTCGGGCTCCGGGGGAGCGGGGCTCTCCAGGGGCAGAAGGCTTTAAGGAGCGCAAGACGTCAGGAAAGATCACAGGCCAATCCTTAAGAAATTTGTAAAAATTCAATAAAGTATTTTTTAAAATATTGACTGTCACCCCAATAAATTCAATATAAACTTAAAAAAAAAAGAAGTTTGGTAATTCTGGGGAGGAGAGAAGCTTCAAGGAACAGCAGAAGCTAGAAAAGGGCCTTTGCTTTTGGCATTATTTTTGGTACTTTTCCTTTTTCCTCTTAAAAAAAGTCAACATGACTACTGGCTATGAGCAAAATAAGGGGATGAGAAAATATTAAAGTGAAAGAGAGAAATGGATAAAGTACAGAGGAAGGGTTTGTGTTAAGATTCTAAATGCCAAGTTTAGCCTTGGAGAAGAGGAGGGACAATTCTTTCTGGGATAAAAGGAGACAGAGTAAGTGTTTTTAATAGAAACAGCAGTGCTCACACACAGCCTGGCTCAGCAAAGCATGTAGGAGAAGCCTCAGCACAGATATCGGGTTTAGGTTCATTTATAGGGGGAAAGATCAGGACGGGCACTCTGGAGACTAATATATAATATAATAAATACATTTTTTTAATCCCAAAAAGTTCATAAAAATATCAAAAGGCAAACCTCAACCATAAAATTCCTTTTGGAATGAAAGAGAAAAAATTAAATTAAGAGAAGTGGCCCAGTTAAAGAAATACTGCTGTTAAAATTTTTAGTATACAAAAATAAAATAGACAAAAGGAAGGCATTCAGTCACATGCCCTTGAGGCACTTTAGATTTGTTTTTTTTTAATCATACACAGGTATTGCTTATTCAAAACATATGACACTGAATTTTAAAAATACCTGTTTTTTAAAGCACCTCACGCTTTAGGTTCCACAGGAACAGAGACCCACCTGGTTTCATTCACCAGCGCAGTACCTGCCTTACAATAGATCCTTCGTAAATATTTGGTTGATGTTTTATAGATTCCGCAAAAGGTACATCAATAGGAAGAGCAAAAAATGAGATTGCCAGGTGACAGAAGTCTACAGTGGGCTGAACAGTGCCCCCCAAAAAGGTATGTCTATACCCAAAACCCTAGAACCTGGGAATGTGACTTTATTTGGAGAAAGTCTTTGCAGATGTAATTAAGGATCTTTAGATAAAATAGTTCTGGATTACCCAGACAGGCTCTAAATCCATGACAAGTGTGTCTTTCTAAAACAGAAAAGAAAACAGGGACACACAAAGAAGGCAGCCCCGTGAAGGCCTACAAAGAGCGCTCTTGCTCTCATCCTCTCTCTCCGTGCAAGATCACATTAAGAACTTCATACCAGATAATGGAGGAGCCCATCTGCACAAAATTGAGCAAAGCTGAATTTTCTACTTAGATAAATAAAGCATAGAGATATGCAGGGTTACTATATGACAGTAAACATATATAATGAATAATAACATGCTCTACTGACAGAAAATAAAAGAGATACAATTGCAAGTGAAGACTATTTAATTAGAATATTAGTAAAAATCTACAAACTTAAGAAATCCAATAAAACATAAAGGAGTAACATCAGTATTATGAAGTATTTCAAACATGCAAACGAGATTAGAGAATAATAATATAAACATCTATCTACTTAATACCAAGTCTTAAATCTTGACATTTGGCCCAATTTATTTTCAGATTTAAAGGAATAAAATATTTCAGATATAAGTGAAGCCTCTATACACCACCTCCTGCCCCTTTACCCTCCCTCCCACCTCAAAGGCAGCCATTGTTTTAAAGCGAAGTGTATCATTCAAATGTACATGTTTAGACATAAATAATAGGCAGTATTATTTGATATATTTAAGCTTTACATATGTAGCATGGGTTATATATTCCACTTTTTTTTAATTTAGAAAGCTTAAAATTTTATTTATGTTTTTCACTCAAAATATTTTCTGAGACATATTTATGTTCATCCATGCAATTCTAGTTTATTCACTTTAACAGCTAAAAACTGTACTATTGATCTTCCATTAATGGTCATTTAGGCTGCTCTTTAACTTTGCTGTGCAAACAATGCTACAACAAACTTTCTTGCACATGTCCCCTCATACATATACTGGAGTTTCTCCAGAATATGGTTCCAAAACAACAATTACTTGGTACCCATTCTTTTTAAAAACTCTTTATCTTTGGTAAATTACCTTCATTACAGTAAAAGTGTATTCCCATAATTAACAAAAGAATCTGACTAGAGGTAACCCTAAGATACTTTTTGTGGAAAAAGACTAAACTCTGAATTCACTAGTTCTAAGTCATCTCAGAGTACCTATCTAGCAAAGTCATTCAGAGCAAAAAGCAATACATCTCATTAATGAGAAGTTACCTGTGCGATGTTTTTAGAAGACATCCTTGCCTGATAATAGAATATGCGGCCGAAGTGCTCTCGATCTGGAAACTCATCTGCTTGTCGAGGTAAGTTTGCTCCTCCTGAGTCAACTGAAGACAAGGGAAAGGGAAGAAATAAGTCCATCTCTCTGAACAAAATGTGCTACACAAAGGAAGACTTGCATTAACGACAGCATCACTTCTTAATCACAATAATTTGTGCTGTCTTTCTAAACTATTCTATAGCCTTTCTCCAGACCCCCAATGAAGCCAAAAGGAGTCACCGTTTTCCTCAAATCCATTAGGCTCTCCTACCCTTGTGCCCAACTGCACTTGAAATGTGTAGTGTTTTCTCTCCTTTGAGGACCAGCTCAAGCCTTAGAAATATTGTAAATGTTTAACCAGTTCAGTTTCAAAAAGTATCTTTCCCTCTTTTTAACCAACACAGAAACCATCTACAGAATTTATGTGACAATATATCATATATTGCCTTCTGATAATGTTTTTACTGCAGATTATTTAGTGGTAGATAAGAACGTCAGCTGAGTTCCAAACAGAGCTTGGTTACTTCATAGCTTTGTGATCACAGGCGTGTTTCCTAACCATTCTATGCCTTGGTTCCCTCACCTGTGAAATGAAGATGACACCAGTAGCTATCCCATAAGAGTTCTTATTGAGATAACATGAAATAACGTGTCTGCTGCACTTAGCTCATTACATACTGTGAGAAGACATAGTAATACTACAAAGAGTCAGTTAGTCCTATACCTATTATTCTTGCCTAAAACCATAAGTCTTGTATTGTTATTTGATGTATTACATCTTGTCTCTAATCATATGTGGGCTGAAGACAAGGAGAACATAATACTCTTCACTGCACCCCCTACACTGTTTGGCATAGCACCTGAAAGCAATAGGACCTCATTTGCTATGTTCTATGTATACAAAGTAGTCAACCAGGCATACTGACCTTTGCAGAAAAAAAATCTCTCCATCAGTACCTGTTCAAATATCTACATAAATTAACAATATAGCATATAGAGTTTTACAAAACTAAACCAATATCCAGAAAGTAATAATTGTATACTGCCTTGCTTTTATGTTCTTTTTAAAATATCCTTAGATTTAAACGTATTTTAATTTTAAACATAAACTTACTTTCACTGAAAATTAAATTTTCTTATTAGATTTAATCAGGTGATCACTTCAAAAAGTATATAAATGTTTAATCACTATGTTGTACACCTGAAAGTAATATATAATATTGAATGTATGTAAACTATAATTGAAAAATACATTTTAAAAAATTAAAACTATGTTAAATTTCTTTAAATTTTATCTGCTCAAATTATATACACACTTGGCCCTGACCAGGTAGCTCGGTTGGTTACAGTATCGTCCCAATACACCAAGGTTACAGGCTTGATCCCCAGTCAGAGCACATACAAGGATCAACCGATGAATGCATAAATGAGTAGAATAACAAAAATCAATGTTTATTTCTCTCTCCCAAATCAATAAGTTAAAAAACATATATCTCTTTAAAAGATTATACACATACTCAAGCATTTAACATAGTACCTGATAACCTGATACTCAAGAGATTCCAAAATACTAGCTTTTTTTTTTTTTAGTTTGAATCCACTACGGTTAACAGAAAAAAAAATATATATGGAAGAAAAAAAAGCACACATCTGTAAAGAAAAAACTGGCATAAACCAAAATACTGTCAAGGGTTACTCCTCAGTGATGCTATCATGGGTAGTTCTTATTCATTTTTTCTCCCAGACTTCCAGCCAAGAACATGCATTTCTTTTGTAATTATAGAAGAAACCAATATACTCATATAACACATATATGTCCTCCTAAACAGTCATATTTTACAATATGCAAAAAAGAGTTTCTTTTATAATTCTTGTAACTTGCCCAAGTAGATGCAGGGGAGCCTGTTTTGCAGCGCAATTTCTTGTGCCCGTAAATGTTTTTTCACAGTCACTGGGTAGTAGGTACCTCCTTTGACAGTGGCATCATTGGCAACAATCATACATTCTACTCTGAAAGGCAGAAATTTCATTGGAAAGAGAATATGAGAGATTTCTTCACAGTCAAAGGCCAATTACATCACATTCCAAGACAGTCCAATGCCACCTTCAACTTCTAGCACACAGGACCAATGAGCAGTATTAAGGCAATCTTAAGATATAAAAGCAAGCTTTAATCACAGTTCACATATTCATTTATATGATAGAAAATGATCACTTTTTTTAAAGTAGATTATGCTATTACAGTTGTCCCATTTTTTCCTCCTCTTTATTCCCCTCCGCCCTGAACGTGCCCCCACCACCAGCAGTCCCCACCCCCCACCCAGTTTATGTCCATGGGTCGTACATATAAATTCTTTGGCTTCTCCATTTCCTATACTATTCTTAACTTCCCCCTGCCTATTTTGTACCTGCCAATTATGCTTCTTATTCCCTGTGCCTTTTCCCCCATGCGCCCCTCAGCCCCGCACTGATAACCCTCCATGTGATCTCCATTTCTGTGATTCTGTTCCTGTTCTAGTTGTGCTTAGTTTGTTTTTTAGGTTCAGTTTTAATAGTTGTGAGTTTGTTGTCATTTTACTGTTCATAGTTCTGATCCTCTTCTTTTTCTTAAATAAGTCCCTTTAACATTTCATACAATAAGGGCTTGGTGATGATGAACTCCTTTAACTTTACCTTATTTGGAAAGCACTTTACCTGCCCTTCCATTCTAAATGATAGCTTTGCTGCACAGAGTCATCTTGGATGTAGAAAATGATCACTTTTAACAAGAGTCATCAGTCCTACATTAGTAGTGAAAAACTAACAACCTAAGCCACATTTCGTAATGGTTATTTGAATGAAAACGTCCTATAAAGTTAGTAGTAATAATAATAATGCCCTCTCCAAAATCCAAGTCTCATGGGTGAGGAAATCCCTCATAATTAACCTTCAAGTTTCCTTTTAGGAAAGGAATCTGCAAAAATAAAAACTGACCCATCAAGATTATTTAGTTTTCATGTTTTCAAAAGTTCTTCAACATTACTGCCATATGCTTTTCTATAAAAATAAAAAATAATTTAAAATACAACATTCATCTTGCTTAAGGAAACAACAGGTGCAATCTTTAAAACAGCATATTTAAAGTGTATACTGTACTGAGTCATGAGTGGTACCCTGTCTCACCAAAACCGGCTTGTTGAGGACCTCAGCCCCCAAGTGACACAAGAGCCAGGGCGGTGAATGCAGACAGCAGGCTAAGGAAACTGCTCAACACTGCACTGCCAGGAAACCTGAAGGCCCGAGGTTCCACTTGAAACCTGAGAGAACAGTGTGTCCTTTTCAAAATTTAATCTTCTCTGTATTTTTTATCTTTTTGTTATCTCACCTTATATTCTCTAGAATTCTAAAAGACACTAATTGAATCCCTGTTGAAAGCAGAGAACAGGAATGAGCACACAGCCTCGGGCAGTGCCCAGCAGTGCTCACCACAACTTAACAGGGTGCCATGCCAGTCCTTTGAGCATCAATTTTACTCACTAGGTCTGTGGATGAAAAAAGGGAGTTTTATGGAAAGTAACCTCACTGGGTGATATGACCATAAGTTCCTAAGTGGGCAGGTCATGGTGGGAAGTTGCCACCCAGGTATATAACTTTTTAGTAAAAGGTTTATCTTTGCCTTAAGCAAGCCCTACCCATTGTCTCTGAGCATCTACCTTGGAAATAAGCGGTAACTACCCTAAAGAGAACCCATAATCTGCTTCACTATCTTGCAGTCCAATCCCCACCTTGCTTTCCCCCCACCTCCATGTAATCTTCCTTAGTTCCCTCCTTAATTTCAAATGCTTAAAAGAAGCTGCAAATCTGTTCTTCTGTGGAGCATTTGAGATCTTGTTCCCTGGCATATGTCATCAGTGTGGCTCAAACGCTCAAAAATTCTTTACAGGTCTGGATGTTTCTTACGTGGACAGATCATACATATAAAGCCATTTTCCACTGCAATTAACATTATTGAGAGTAGAATTTTTAACCACATTAACATTAAACAAACTAGACTTCAAAGGGAACTTAGGCTTAGGACAGGTGGCTGGGCCACAACCCTATGCTTTAGAGCATGTTCACACTTGCCTACCCTGGATATGCTGCACAGGAAAAGCTTAAGTATGTCTGGTAATGGGCAGAGGTAGGCTGTGAAGTCAGACAAAGCGGGGCTGAATTCCGGCTCTGCCACTCGCTAGATCTGTGACCTTGGACAGGAGACATAGCCCCTTTTACTGTTTATTAAAAGGTCACAGACATGTTACTTAATGAGAAATAAAATCAGTTCACAAAAATATTATACTGTACATCTACTGGTTTGCCTACCCAGCATCTCTTATTTTGAGAATAGAGCTAAGCTTTTTTTCAGAAACTAGTTCTTCTCCATTTGTAATCCACGTGGTTCAAGTGGCACTCACCCCAAAACCTATCTTCAAAGGTGGGCACAAGAACCAGGCCTTTATACACAGAGTCCACGCTGTGACTCCGCAGTGGGCTCGGGCCCCAGGCCTATCTCTAGGAGCTCTCCTTCTGCTGTAGCTGCTCAGCTTGTGGAATCGAGACCAGGAATGCCTGCGGCCAGCTCAACAATAACGGTGAGTGGCTACAGCTCTGCCTCCCCTGAAGGCACAGAGCAGGGAGAGGTACACACACAAATAACCAGGAGCGGAATCAAATGTGCTTGTATCCTGCTCAGATCCAACCACCTGAGGTCAAAGCAGAGCTGTGCCAGTGGCTTGATCTTGGGCAAGTTATTTAACTTTCTAAACCCTATTTCCTTATCTCAGAATAGTTATAACAATAATAGTACCCATTCTCACAGAACTGTGGTAAAGATTAAGACAACTAATCAGTGGGAAGTATTTATCATAGTGCCTAGCATGGTAACTTTGAAGAAAATGTGACCTCATACATAAATACATATAAATACAGCTAACATCTAGCAATCTAGATTCCCCAAATCCATGGTGTTCTCAAATATTAGCATTTGAGAACAGATTGCAGGGTCCCAGCCCAGAATTTGATTTAGTACTTCTTGGGAAACCTGATAATCTACATGTCTAACACAGTTCTTAGGGGATGCTTACTTACGCTCCCTGGGGACCACACTTGAAGTGCGACTCCTCTAAGACAGGGGTTTTCACCCCCGGTGTGAAGAGATCACCTGTGAAGCATGGAAAGCCACACCAGCCTTGTCCACACCTGGAGATGCTGATTAGGTGGGGAGGTCTGGATTGGATCCCCTGGGATCTTTGCTAGGGATTTTTTTCCCTTCAATTTTTGTCTCTAAAGCTCCACAAATGAATCTAAAACATGTCTGCATAGGAAGCCTCAGTCCTAAATAATATCAACACCATAAAATTTGTACGCCAACATGCAAGCAGTGAGTTGTCCCTCTTCCTGAGCCTCAATGTGAGCGTAAGTAGGATACTCACCCAGACACTCTCCCAATGCCTGTAATAATGCCACCTGCAGGGACCTCCTCATCACCATATAACTGGTAGCCTGCAAACTGGGATAATTCCAGAAATGGAGACCTGGAAGGAAGAAAGGAAGGATGCTGTTTGAATGTTGTTTTCGTTTTGTTTTTTTTTTAAAGCATATTTAAACAATTACACATCTGGAAGAAGATTTTTTTCTTTAATAAGCCAATGTTACAACTATGTATATTGTATGTACAAAAAGAATATTTAAAATAAAATCTGGTATGACTACTTTTGGGATTTATGTGGTATAGCCATACAATAGAACACTAGGTAGTTATTTTAAAAGATGTTTACAAATGTGTTTATTAATATAGAAAGAGCATAGCACCTAAAACTTATGTAGCACTTGCTATGGGCCAGGCTCTCTTCTAGGACTTTCAGAAACCTAACTCATCTGCGCCTAAGAACTACCTGCTCAGGTGGATCCTATTATAGTCCCCATTGACTGATGAGGAAACTGAAACAAGAGACTAAGTCACTTGTCCAAGTCACTTGTCTAAGTCACTAGTAAGTGGCAGAGCTGGGTTTTAATAAGCAACCTGGGACCAGGCTTTTCACCACTGTTTTATTCTAGGCGTTACTTACTTAAATGTCCAAGATACAGTAAGTGAGGAAAAAAGGGGGGAGGGTAGAAAACCCAAATTTAGTATGACTCCACTTTTCTTTTAAAAAATTGTGCCTAACACACACATTAATGAAAATGGTCTAGAAAGATATATGCTAGGTGTTAGCACTGTTTGTGTCTAGTTGGGTATGTGTGTGCATGTCATAAAAGATACTTCTGGAGACGTCATCTCCTCCTCTCCACCCCACCTCATCCCCCTCATCCAATCCTTCAGGAAATGCTGTTGGGTTAACTCCGCCTTGGCAACGCGCCCAGTAACTGACATTCCCATCAGCTGCACCGCTGGTGCCCTGGGCCAAGCCCCGCTCACGGCGCTCCTGAATCACTGCAACAGCCCTCTACCTGGTTTCAGTGCCCCTGCCCGTGCCCACAGTTTACGCACAGCACAGCGGCCAGGACCACTCTTTTCAAAACAAGTCAAATAGATCGTCGTAGTCACATGTGGAACACCCCACAAAAGCTTCCTATTTCTTTCAGCATTAAGAGCCAAAATTCTTCTCCTGGCCTAGAAGATCTTATGGAATTTGACCCCATCTCTCCTGCTCTCCCTTTCATGTCTCTTCCCCAACTGTACTGGCCCCCTGGCTCCGCGAGTGTATCAGCACACCCGGCACATGTCCGCCTCAGGGCCTTTGCGCCGGCCATTTCCGCGGCCTGCAGCACTCTTTCTCCAGGTATTTGCACCGTTCTCTCTCTCCACTCCTTCAAATCCTTGCTCAAACGTCGCTTACCCTAACCACCTTATTTAAAACTGCAACTTGAACTTCATCTTCTTTTCCCTTTCTCTAGTCTACCTTTTCTTCCTCCCATGACAGTTACCATCTTCTAAAATACTATAAAATATATGATGTTTATCCTTTATTTTCAATCTCCTCCTGCTGCGATATAAACTCCAGATGGGCAAGGATCTTTGTCTATTTTGCTCATTGATGTATCACTGGCACCTAGAAAAGTACCTGACACATAGTAGCCTCTCAATAAACATTTGTTGTTGAATCTTAAGATAAGAACCAGAATTTAAAATCATTTATTTATAAAGCTAAGAAAGTCCCATGGAATAGAGAACAATGAGTTAGCACTCAGGTATATACCAACCCTGGGTCTAGAAGACCATCGACTCTTTCTCTGGGTAACAGTTTTCCTCTTGATATGTGGAGTTCTCTGGCTTTCTTGCTACCTCCTGTAATAAAAACAGGATTAGATTAGATTGACACGTTATAAGGTCTCCATTTAACTTAATGCCAGAAAAACATGTAACAGTCTACAATTAGGGCTTGTCATTTTTTTTTTTATTTTATTGATTTGAAAGAGAGAGAGAACCATCAATTTGTTGTTCCACTTACTTACACTTTCATGGGTGGATGCTTGTATGTGACCTGAGCAGAGACTGAACCTGCAACCTTGGCAATATCAGGACAATGTTCCAACTGAACTACCTGGTCAGAGTTTTTTTGTTTTGTTTTGTTTTGTTCTTGTTGTTTTTTTTTTAATATAGAGCTTTTAAAAGGTCCACATATCCTATGAGAAAAGGCAAATTTTCAGATCATTCACTCAACAAACTGCCAGTTTTCTGAAGTAAATAAGTAAATAGGCCTTTAAAAAAAATCAGTCTATCCCTATTGCATTAACTATAACTATGTATGGTGTCAGATGGGTACTAGATATTTCATGGGAATCACTTCGTAAGTTATATAAATGTGTAACCACTATGTTATACACCTGAATCTAATATAGATAATACTGAACATCAACTGCAACTCAAATTTTTTTCATTTAAAAAATAAAAATAGAAATTAGACTAAAATCAATCTATTCCTGATTTCACAGCATATTATACATTTTCTTAATTCATTTTCTTAATTACTTACTTAAATTAGAAATGACAGTATTTTCTCTGCAACTCATGCACTGCAAATACTGCCTCATCCCCCCCATATTTATTAAATACCTACTACACATATCTAGCACCATGCCACATGAAATTTGAAATATTCCTACCTTCACCTGTACCAGGTAAAAAACACTATTTTAGAAATGACTTTCATGATAGCACAGCAAAACTCATCTAATGGTGTCATTAGTGACCCAAGGCTTTTTAGGCTACCTCCAAATAGGAGAATCACATGCCTTCCTTATATAGCAACGACAAAGTCCCCTTCTGTTAATATCTTGACTCAGAGATTGTCTTTGGTGTTTCCTGATGTTATTCTAGACAAAGAAAAGCAAAATTATTGAAGAGTCTGCTGAGGCTGCTTGCGGTGAGAGGCACGCCAAACCTCACCTGGCCCCAGGGCCACTGGGCCCCGGAGCCTCATATCAATGGCACACTCAGCAAACCAAGGCAACGGGTCAGAAGGATCACATTGTACTTCAGGATGCATTTTCACTGTTGCCCAAGAATTTTCTCTTAATATGATTTTTGGGTAATGAAATGTTCAGTTATTTAAGAAAGCCATTTCTTTGTTTCTGTAGGTGAGAAAATAAGTTCATATCTATTTCAAACAAGCTTCCACATATAGCCTTATTTTTCAAATCAGAACTCTTTCCTGTATCTAAAGAGATTTTTACTTTTTCTGAAGAGATGGATGGCATATTTTTAAGATTAAATCTGCCTTACGGTCACAAAGATAGTAATAGCACACATAATATTACAAAGAAAAGTAATTATCTTTTAAAGTGAAAATAATTCTGAGAGCAAAAGATTTAGTTACAAAATAGTGTACTTAAGTCAATCGCTTTTCTCTCTTCTCTCAACCACAGGGAACTCAGAATTCCCTACTGAGGTGGGTGTAGAGGTAGGGAAGGGAGTAGGAGGTGGGGGTAGGGGTGACGGGGGAGAGGGAGGGGATCCCAAGGGGCAGAAGAAACTTCCAGGAGGAACACGTTCATTATGCTGAGTGTGCTGATGGCTTCATGAGTGTATACATGTCAAAACTCAAACCATACTCTTTAAATTATGTGGTTCATTGTATGAAAATTGTTCCTTTGTAAAGTTGTTTAAAAATAAACAGTACAAGAAAAATGAACCTAAAGTATGGCAAGAAAGGTCAGGGCTTGGTGAGGGTTTTTGGGAGTCAGGTGACCTAAGGGCCCACCTAGGGGTTCTCAGGGGAAGGGACGGCAGGGGAGGATGGGATGGCAAGAGATGATAAAAATGTTTTAGCACTTAAGACATCATTCTTTCTTGATTCTGCAACCTGGAACAGCTAATAAATTCTGGTTTTATTACAAAAAAACAAAAAGAGGGATATCCCAACACAGATTCTCAGATCACAGAATTAAGCTCCTCTGGCACTTAAACCGGCATTGGATATATGGACCACAAATACCATGAAACAGCACATTAGTTTTCCAAGGATTATTCTTAAATAAATAGGCTGTGCTAATTATTTCCATCCTCACAGATTCAGGGCCAGAAAAATCTGTTTCCCTCTCTCTCATTTACCATATTGCATCACTTCTAAGACACAGGTCGTGTTTCCATTTCAAGATTCCTAAAATTAGGAAGCATTTTACAGCTTAGAGCATCTCTCTGTCACTGTCACCAGGGGGCGATCACAACACAGCTATCAGCCTCTGCTTTCACAGTGGGATGCTGTAGCTGAAATAAAAATCTTTATGAGGCAATAGTTGGAACAATTGATGAATTTGAATTTCTACTTTTCCCCAAACAGTGGAGAGCTATATGAGCAGAAAGACTAATGAAGTAATAGGAGAAAATAAAATGTCTGCATTCACAGTCTTGAAGAGTCAAAAGCTTAAGGCTCCAAGTTTTTCCAAAAGCCAGTGACTATAAAGGGACATCTTAATCAAAAGTGTGAAAAATAATATAAATGGAGCCACTTCAAAATGGAGCCAGAGCTGCCATTTCAGACAAACTGCCTTGCATATCTTATTCCTCGAACCTTTGGAATGATAAGACTGGGCAAGATTACTTTTGGGCTGGGCTTAAAGCAGCACTGTGTTCCGAACAACTATTTGCAAAGCTATCAGGAAAGCAGACATGACTGCTGGACTGAAAATTAAAGACGTTCTTTAGACTCACCATCACGGTGTTAGCTCACCTACAGACATTCCTTCCTTAGCTTATGAACACCCATAAAAATGCCTTCATCTTCTATTCATGTCATTTTTCCCCTTAACTTTCTTACAAATACCCTTGTCTTCACCTCCTAACTGGAACAATAGTTGGGTCTTGACCTGAATCAGTGCTTCCAGAATAGCTAATCTTTTGTATCTAAAATAAATGCTTGGTGCCTCTTACTTTGGCCTTTTACTTTTAGGTTAACAACTGAAGAATAAAGGAGTGTTTACCGAGTCTTATTTTCTGTGCTCGTTCATGGAGTTGATTTACTAGTGCTTTCATCTGTTCATAGTTTTCCTAAAACAGAAACAAAGAAAGAGAGTAATATTAGAGAGCAATTATCTTTCTTACCAAAATATGAGTTAAGAAGAATATCATGTGCCAAGCTCACATGGCCTCCACACTGGACAACCTCATCCACAGCGTTCCCATGATGGGCCATTCCATTGTATGAGAAGATTAATTCCTGCCTGTACTTTGCTCAAACTCTTCACTATCACCACCTCGCTCTGGTCCATCTGTCCAAATCGTACCCCCTTTTAAAGCCTAATCCATGTTCCATCTGAAAGCCAACACCATTCTGGCCACTCCTACTCATTTTAACATCTTTCTTCCTTAAACATCTACTGAACTTAATTGATCTCTGTTTGTTTTTCTATTTTAAAGACTTAAGCAATATGTTCCTTAATTTTTCAGAGTTAGAATATCTTATTTGTTCTGTCCTATCTCTAACTACTCTGAGGAGGTGCTAACCAATGCAGAAATACTTAATAACTGACAAATGACACTTAAAAACAATGCCAGGAGGAAAAAGTGGATCCTATTTTATGTGTAAAAAGAAATGAAATGCTATGTTTGCCTATGTTTGGACATTTCCTACAGTAATATACAAGAACACATAAACACTGCAAAGTGGGAAAAGAGCAGAGGGACTAACTTTTCATCCTTGTTTTTAAGTTTTGTTGGATCACATTACTTTAAAACAATACTTAGCTAATTATTTTTGAAAATTCAGAATTTATCCTGCTAACACATTTGGTTCTTCATAATGTGATCAACATATCTGGTAATGTCATTCACTTTATGTGACACAATGCTAAGCAGCTTTCCAGGTGTTCAAAATTAGATGAATTTACAGTCTTGATGATACAGATCCATTATTTCCTATTTTCAACAGCTCCTACAGTCCCTGAAGTCATAGAACAATCCTCCTTTGTCTGGCTAATTCCCAAGCAAGTCCACCCAGTCACTGTGATATAGTCCACAGCACTGCAAAAGGAGGGAAGAGACAGGCTGCATTAGAGCAAATTAGAGAGAAGGACATTTCACTAACATGTTCTGCAGCCCTTTGGTGTGGTTTGTTGTCATTGTTGTTAACTTTCATGGAAATTATCAAACACATAGAAAAGCAAAAGACTAGTGCAATGAAATGTACCCAATGCACTTCACCCTATATAGCCAAAGTTGTTTCCTATATAGCTCCCATCCTGAATGATTTTGAAGAAAATCCTAGATGTAACGTCTCACCAGTATTTCCTAATCTCCAAAAGATAAGGACCACTATCGTCTCTCAATAAACTGTCAATATCCTCAAATATCCAATGAGTGAAAACACTGTCCCAACTGTCAGATATTTGTTTTTCACAGTGTATTTGAATAGGATTCTATGGGAAGCTACATACCCACAACTGGCTGATATATTTCTTAAGTCTTTTCTAAAATATAAGTTCTACCATCTTTTGTCCTGAAATGTTGTTTGTCCCACAGATTTTTCCATGGGATAAACAGAACATTTCAAGACAACAAAGATGTGCTAAATGCATCCCCACAGTACCCTTTAGCAAGTCCTTCCCTTGCACATCATCTAAAGGTTTATGGGATTCTGGTGTGCCGTCAGTATTTTATTCCTTCTCCCCACCCCTACCTCCCTTCTGCATCCTACCTGCCACTATCCTGACAACTTTTCAAACCACGGGCACCAAAGCTCAAAACAGGTCACACACATACAGAGCAAACAAGTAGGTCTCTACTTAAAGTACACATAAACCCCAGCGTACAATCACTATAGCCCATGATGTTGCCCATTTAGAACAATAGCAATCAAAGCTAAAGCTGGTTATGCAAGAAATCTTTACCCTGGCTAAGCTATCCTCCCATTAAAAAATCAAGAAAACCGTCACTACCAAGCCTTGCTAAAGCACATAGCGGTGGGAGAAGTGAGAACAGACAGTACATATTACTGGTCTAACATGAGCGACTAGGAACACTAGGCAGGGAGAAACTGGATTGTGGTTGGGCCCCTATGTACCATCTCCATCCAAAGTATGGCTTTATGTTTTGTTCTCTTTTATGGGTTTTTTGCATCAAAGTTTACTACTTGTAGCTGGAGGTGTCAGGAGATACGGGTACACCTAAGTGAACTCTTTTAACATCCAACACAACTTAAGAACACACCCACTCTCTCCACGATATCTGTTATACGTGGCAGACAGTATCAGCTGTGTATTCATGCCCATTCTTCCCATCGTCCTTGATAATGGAATCCCAATTTTACTCAAGGCGGCAACAAGCCCAGCTGGAAAAGTAACATATCCTGGCCTTCTTATGTAGACAGGTGTGGCTGTGGGACTAAATTCTATCCAATGAAATACAGACAGAAAGTATGGCTTTTAGAAAGGCTCCTTAAAAAGAAGACAAGCAGATGAGGGTGTCCTTTTGGAACTCAGACATAATAGCTGGATGTTGGGTACGGTCCCGCCTGGTTTCAGGGACTGTAGCCTTGCCGATAGGCAAGAGGGCCGCAAGGCTGGAGCTGAGCAAGGAGGCCTTGAGAAAACAGGCCACTGAGGAGACAAAACCTGTCCCCACTTAAGATTTCCAGCTCTGAGATTCTAGAAGCTCCAAGTTGTTTCTTTGAACTTGTAACTGCTCCCAGTTCAGGGGGGGGAAAAAAAAAAAAAACATTCAAAAATACTATGGGATGGGATATTTTCTATTAACATAACCATTTTAACTAAAGTCTGAGAAGAACAACTTCCAAGGTTAGTGGTCCTAGGCCAGTGGTTCCCAAATCTGGCTGCTGCCACGCCCCTAGAACCTCATTAAGCATGTAAACGCCAAAAGGTCCGGGGTGAGGCTTAGAGCAGCTGTATATTCAACAAGCTCCCCAACTGACAATGCTAAGCCAGGTTTTGAGAATCACTAATTTCAATGATACACAAAACAGTGTCAATGCTAAAAGTAAACTAAAATGTATTTTATTTGGGTATTTTTTTTCAATCTTTAAGACTTCTTAGTGAGTCCCAGAATCATGACTGAGGCTCCAGAGAAAAGAACAGCAACTGTTAAAAGTGTTGTCCACCTGCTTCCCAGTCCGGTCAGCATCTAGTCCCGCAGGCCCTGCACTAGCTGACGGGTGGAAGAGGAAATCACAGACTCCGCCCGGGGGCTCCAGGCCCGGGCCGCTCCCCCAGCCTACCTGGTAGACGGCTGAGCTCAAGTCCGGCTGGGTGCCCAGCGTGGCCACCGAGTCCCCGTGATAGGCGCGCGGCCGCAGGGCAGCAGCGCAGGCGCACCGCCACGGGGCTAACCTCAAGGTGGCCCACATGTCAGCGGCCACAGAACGAGCGAGGCACACAAGAGAGCTGCCCACCCGGAACAGGTGCCGTTTCCTCTCGCTTCTCCGCTTCGCGTTATGCCCAGCTCGGGTTCTTGCAGCCCCAAACCACCTGGAACCTCCCGGAGTCCCAGACCAGCCCTGGCACGGGCGTGGACGCGTCGCCCGGGATTGGTAGGCACTGCGCACCACGCCCCCCAAACAGCCAATAAGGGATAGAAGAGCAGCCTTGCGAGACCCTGTCCTATCGCGAGCCCAGGAGCACTGCGAGTCAAGGGGCGGAGCGATCCTTCTGCAGCCGGCCTGCTCAGGCACAGGGTAGTGACCTGCCATTGACATTCCTTGGACTAGGACTCGTTTATTTTCTATTGTTTTCTTCCTCTTCTGCTAATAAAAAGGGCATTTCAAAGCTTGAAAAAGTTCATTCTATGTGAGCCGGAAACTGAACAGACATTAAGCTTCCCTAAGAAAATTTTAAAGGATACATTTATTCATTCAGCAAAAAATTTCAATGACTCCTGCGTCAGGTGCTCTTCTGGCGCTGGGGACACGGTGTAGAACAAAGTGCCTTCTTTTATAGTGTGGGAAGATCATAAACAAGTAAACAACAATAAAAACTTTAATAGTAATAAATTGCAACTTAAATGTGGTGTTGGGCTGGCCAAAACATTTACCTGTTTTTTTCTGTAAGATAGCTCTAGTAGTGTTTACTTGTTTTTAACTTCATTTAAAAGTTTTGTTAGATTGTATTATGATAGCTGTCTTATCAGTGTGCATTTAAAAAAACAAAAATTTGTGAATTTTTGTGTAGCCATTTTAACATTGAAGATGGAAGAAAATAAGCAACATTTTCAGCATATTTTATTATTTCAAGAAATGTAAAAAACGCAACTTGAAACGTAAAAAAAGATTTCTGCAGTGTATGGAGAAGGTGCTGTGACTGATCGAACCTGTCTGAAGTAGTTTGGAAAGTTGTGTGCTGGAGACTTCTCGCTGGACAATGCTCCATGGTTGGGTAGACCAGTTGAAGTTGATTGACATCAAATCGAGACAATGAGAACAATCAACATTATATCACATGGGAAATAGCTGACATACACAAAATACCCAAATCAATTAAGGTATTGGTGAAAGTGAAAAATGTGTCCTTTACAGAAAAATACTGGGTTGACTTTTTTGCCAACCCAATACAACTTAATTTACTTCTAAAACTTTACCAATAACAAATCTGGGCATCCTCACAATCCTTCACCCACTGCACAATGAGGAAAAAATTATCTAGTCCATTTTAGTCTTTGATATGATTTTTGTATGCAGTATTATACAAGGATCCAACTTTATTCTTTTGTATTGGATACCCAATTTCCTTAACACCATCTTTGAATCTGTCCTTTCCCTTCCTCCCATTGGATAGTCTTGCCTCTCTTTCCAAAAATCATTTGACCATACTGGGTTCATATCCTATTCCATTGGTCTAAGTGTCTGTCTTTATGCCAGTACCACACAGTTGATTACCGTAGATTTGAAATAAGTTTTGAAGTGTGAGCATTCCTGCTTTGCTGCTCTTTTATTTGCTTCCCCTTGCCCCCATTAGGGGTCCCTTGAAAGTCCATATTAATTTTAGGATCAGTTTTTCTACTTTGGCAGAAAATATCAACAGGGGTTTGATAGGAATTGCATTAAATCTACTGATTGCACTGGATAGTACAGACATCTTAACGATATTGTCTTCTAATCCACGAACAAGGGATGTTTCCATTTATGTATGTCTTGATTTCTTTCAGCAATGTTTCGTAGTTTTCATTGTGCAAGGATTTCACTTCTGTGGTTAATTCCTATTTTATTCTTTTTTGTATTTTACTCTTTTAAAGTGCTGTTGTTAATGGAATTGTTCTTGTGATTTTCTTTTTTAGCTTACTAGTGTATAGAAATGCAGCTGATTTGTGCGTGTTGACTTTGTCTCTTGCTACTTTACTGAATTCACTTACTAGTTCTAACAGGAGTTTTAGTGGGGAATATTTAGGGTTTTCTACATATACCATCTATGAACAGAGATAATTTTACTTCTTCCTTTCCATTTTTGATGCCATTTATTTCTTATTTTGCCTAATTGCTCTGCCTAGAACTTCCAATACTATGCTGAACAGAAGCAGCAAAAGTGGACATCCTTACCTTGTTCCTGATCAAGAACATTTTCCAGAAGGGATGGGAATGATAATAGAAGGGAAGGAAATGAGTATATTTAAAAAAGCCCATGAAGTGCCCAGCAGCATGAATGTGGGGACAGGAAACAGGCAGGCTTACACCAAGGCTCATTACTGTGCAGAATACCACGGTCAAAAAATATGTAAATAGGCAGGCCACAAACTTAAGGGTTAAGAAATAAAAAACTACTTGCTTTGGTTACCATTAATACTATGTGTTATGAATTATAAATAATCTCAAGATGACTTAAAGTATACCGTAGGATGTGTACAGGTTATATGCAAATAATATGCCATTTTACATAGGGACTTGAGTATCTTTAGATTTTGTTACCCACGGCGGGGTCCTAGAAACAATCCCCACTAATACCAAGGGATGACTGTACTGTATTTTTATGGAAGGAAGAAAATAAGTATCAGCTGTACATGACTACTTGTTTTGGGTAACATTAAGAAAAGGACACAACGAAAATAGTATAAAATAACATTTATTTACATAATTTATATCTGTAGAACATAACTGCTTTCTTTAAAACAAGAAAATTTACAAGTGACATTTTGCTTTTTTGTCAAAGACTTCTTCAAGCAAGATACACATTGTCACTTCTATTTCAAATAATATAGTGGTAAACAGTGAATATTCATATTTTTATCTGTGCCTCAAACATTTACCAACAAATTAGGCTCTTAAATTGTCATGTTCACCATTTGCTAAGATGTAAGTGTTCAGGAGGAAAGTCAAGAAAAAAATAAAGGCCTTTAATTATATCTCCTTTAAGATTCGTAAAATACAAATTTTTCCCAACATCATCTTTACATGAATAGATTAAATACAGGTATGAACAAGTCTTTCCACCTTAAAAGGTAAATAAATACACTGATTAAGTTTCTCTTTCTTCAAGATTAGTTTTAAGTATATAATAGTAGGGTAATTTGGCTGGGTGACTTGAGTTTCTAATACAATAAATGCCCCCAAAATAAAATTATTTACACAGTAAGAACTTACAACTCTTATAAAATTAATTCACTGTAGGTGAACAAGAGACAAACATTAACAAAGTTAAAACATAAATATTATACAAGAAATAAAATAATAGTTTAGTTGTGGTAACCTAACACCCAAATCAACATTAATCAAATGAAAGAAACCTTTTAGAATGAGTTGTTTAAAAATGTCTAAAAACAGGGCATTAAAATAGCAATGTGATTTACTAGCATGATTCTTGTGAGCACATGAAATAAATAAATGTATACTTATAGAGATTTCCACTCAGATTTATAGATCCTCCTTTATAGCAAAAAAAAAAAAAAAAGTTAAATTTCACTTTAAGAAAATGAAGAACAAATGCTCTAATATCAATTCTTTCAAGAAGTTAGGATTACTGTTGTACGTCCTCCTGAGCCATATCCTATTTTACTAATGAACCTGAAAATTGTCCACTATTTTTTTCAATATATAAACACAATAATCTAGACATTAAAAATAACTTCCCTTTGAAATACTGATCATTCCATAATACAATCAACAGCTTTGTTAGGCACAACTACAACTTCAATGACAAATATCTCATAGGTAAAGACGTCAGCACCTTAAGGTAAGAAATCTACTGTCTCATGTAGAAGGTCAAACTAAAAGCACAATCCAGCCACATCCATCATTTATACTATCTGGCTGTTTTCAACTGAAATGACAAAGTTGAGTAGTTGCCACAGAGGTCATCTGGCCCACAAACTGAAAAATATTTTGCAAAAAATGTTTCTGACTCCCAACCTAATGTATTATCAACTGAGGATAAATATGCTTTTTTGAGAAGTTTAATTTGAACCACACCAAAGATTTGCTTGGGTGAATAACAGAATTACATATGTAAATTACAACATTGAAAACAACTTAAATTCATAATCACTGAATTAATAATCTTATTATCTTATTTTCTGTTTTGAATATCGTAATTATCTTCTGTACTTAAAGGCCTAAGTGTTCCTTAAGCAGAATTTGATGGGGGGGAGGGAAACTATCAAGAAACTGGTTTTCAAAAAAAGGAATGTATGTGTGTGTACACGTGTGTGTGTGTGTGTGTGTGTGTGTGTGTGTGTGTAATGGAGACTGGTTTTGTATGAAAAGTTGCCTCATAAATGAAGGAAAGGGTTTTTTTTCCCCATACAAATCCTGAGATTATCCAAGAAATAAGAAAAAAAAACAAAATATTCACAGTACAAAGTCAATATACTAAATCTATGAGAAAAATGTATTCAAAACATATACACTATCCAAATACTTTGTTATATCACTTTCAATAGCTTTAAATTTAAGAGGGAAAGGAGACAAACAAAATTGTTACTGCCTTCTTTACCCATATTCTGAGGGGTGAAAATAATTAAAACTGAATATTCTTTTAAATAAAAAATTTAAAAATAAATAAGCTTTTTGATGTTTCATTTTTATAAATAAGTTTAAATACTAGTTCTTTCAATTAGGACTAATGTTAACATGAATTAGAAAAATACATATTTTTCAGTCAGTCAAATAGCTGATGATAGAAAAGTTTTTAACAATTTACTTTCATATGCTTAGAGGCAAGTGAAAAGGCCTTAATCACCCAAAGAAAAAATCCAAACAAACAAACAAAAACCTTCACAAAAGTAGTTTGCTAAATGTTAAATACAATTCACCTCCAAATATGTAAGCACTGTGATTTATACAGAGACATTTATCCACTCACAACATTCCAAACTGTCCATGTGTTTCCAGTACAGGAATAGTCAAAATGTAAACAGGAGTTGCTATTTCTGAGAAAGCAAACCTAAATGCTTGGTAGTTCCAAAATGCTGAATTAATCAGAATGAAAGGAACCTCAGCAATATTTCCCACTGATTATAAAAAACTTCAAATCAAGCTCATTAAATAGTCAAAATCAATATAAAGAAAAAGAGACATGATGCTTTTTTCTAAATACAGTTCTGTTAATATAA